TCTGTCTATTCTCTTCATGCATTCCAAAACACAGATATATATCGTAATAGCACAATCGACAAAAGAGGAAGTGAAATAAGTTTCCTTGTTCTTGGAATGATTTTAATTAATTAATAAAAAAATATTAGTAATTTTTGTATTGTAATAACAATATTGACAAGTAACAGTAAATAAATAAGAGACACATTTATTTAGGACTATTCAAAAGTATAGCCAGAAGCCTATAAGTGTAATAAAGGTATGAAGTATGTATAAATAAAAATACAACAGCTAATTACGTTATGTTGTTACAAGGGACATTAATTAGGAAGATTTTAACAAAGGCCAAATATTGTTGTTTTTCATACTTTAAGGATCATCCCTAAATGACAGCATGCAGGTCTTAACTTCAACCCTTATTTTAGGCTTTATTTTATTTTTTTTATTTTTTTGGGGGGAGGGGGGATCCAGATTCAGGGGGTCAGTAGTATAGCCCAAAAACCTACCACGACATCCCCCACCCTCCCCCCCAGCCCCTAATTGAATGTATTGAATTTATTGAAATGAAATTCTTAATTAAGTCTAGGTCTGATGGTGATAGCAATACCAAACTAGACTATTCTGACTATGTAAATAAAATGGTTTTTCAACATTCACTAACTTTAATTTTTTTTTTAAAGTTTAGGCCAGACATTTCAAATAACACTTACACCAGTCTTGTAAATTATTGTATTAACTTACACATTTGTCAGGATCATTTGGAAAACTGGAACAAGTTGAGTTCAAGTCTGACATGTTTATGATTTATGGCATAGACTCATAGACGTTGTGTTTTCAAAATTTATCAGTTATACCTCAACACTACTAATAGTAATAGAAGACTGAAAAGATCTAGCAGACACTATCTATGACTGTGACTGACACTAGACCAGATTAGTACTAGTAGTGTCCACGCTCAGTATTAATTAGTGAGTGAAGTGGTAGGTGCTAATAAACTAACAACTACTAAGTAGGCGTGGCCGCTGGGGCTGTTAGCTTGTTCACTCAAATTTTGTCGGCATAATGATCAATCGATCTTGCTTTGTATTAATTATTTTGAAATGGAAACAAACCATATAATATAACTTATAAGATAATAAATTCATGCTGTGTGATTTGTATGCATAGTAGTATTAGTATTTGGGTTACACTAATTTTAGAAAATAAACAAATCGTTTGTTGATGTATGACTGAAAAGGTCATCACTTTACCGACATCAGAGTGTCAAGAGATATTAATCTGAAACAGATCTGCAACTAATGCTTTCGATCAATAATAAATTCTAAGTTATAAGTTCTGAGAGTTTTAATTTAAATTACTCTTGAATTGTGTAATATTATATTATATCATTTTGTATTTAAAATTGTTTTGCTATGGATGTCAAGAAAATATCTTTTATTTGTAGGTTTTTTGGTGCCTTAAAACTGAAAAGGCTATTTATTTCAGAAACTTCACATTAGTTAATCAATCCTTAATAATCGCAAATAATAATCAGATATGTAAGTATGGCTGTGACGCTGTGTTCAATCCATCCCTGTGGCGACAGCCCGTGTTGGGCTTTGGCCTGCCTCATTACTTCTTCCACTCACACCCAACTAATGCTTTTCTTTTCCGTGTTTGGATTACCAGTTGTTGTAGATCTTTTTCCACATCATCCATCCATCTAAGCCTAGGTATGCCTTTGAGCCTTTTTCCTCTGGGGTATTGGTGATGCACCCTCTTCGTTCCTCTGTCATTTAGGATTCTCTTTTAGTGTCCTGCCCAGCGTAGCCTGCTCCTCTTTATTTCTGCTACTATCTTGGGATCATGATATAGAATGTACAGTTCATGGTTGGCTCGTTCTTATTCTCCATCCATATTCATCCTTTGTTGGTCCATATATTTTTCTGAGAACTTTCCTCTCCCATGTGTTTAATAGTTCTTCTGCCGTTTTTGTTACTTCGTATGAAAAAAAAATTGCAAATTCTCAGTGTCTATTGTTAGAAAACAGCAGAAATGTCAGTCATAGCTTTTGCAAATAACTGTCACTTTACAAACCAGTCAGTAAACACTAAATATTGTATTTGTCATTGGCACATAACGTTTGCAAATAGCAGCCGAAAACGTTCTGTTTGTGACTGTTGCGCCACTGAAAGCTCCAAGTAGCTGGCAAACAGACCGCGACTAGTACCAAACTGATAGCGGAGTTTACGTTTCGTTTTCATCCCAAGTCCTTCAATAATTTCTGTGTGAATCTCCTGGTCTACTGGATCAATAAATTCACGCTCGTGCACAATGACAGCGCGAGCATCAATCCCGTTGTTGGGCTGACCGACATTTTGATATCCTCGCCAAGCGTCCGTGAAGGTAGTTGGTCCATGGCAACACTTGAGTGATAATGCGCTCGAGTGTTTGTGCATCTCGACGGCCGACAACCTCCATCCAACATCGTCCACTGCCGCAAACATGAATTTCAAAACAGAATGATGCCCAAGACTTTTAAGTAAGGAGTAATCATTGGAAATAATTTGGGACCGGACTTCGGAGGATTGCCTACTTTCTATGTCAATATGGCACACACAAATTGAAATTTCGCTTTTTGTATTTGATTAAAATTCCATCCACCAGTGCATTAGTTCTTTTTGAAATTATATTTATATAGTTCATATAAGCAAAAAACGAAGTAAGGGCCGCTGGCCCGAATGTTTTAGAATGGTTGTACTAATTTAGAAACATTTGCGGGCGGTGCATATCAATTCAAAAAATGGTTTTCTCACAATCGGATGTATGGTTTAGGAACGCATACGAGAATTATATTTATATAGCTAATGCAAGCGGGGTGGGGGTGGGAAGCGAATTTACGGAATATCATCGTAGGAGTAGGATTGTTGCATTACTTCAGAAACCTACTTGTTATGCTACATACAAATTTAATGTCGCTATTTGATTACAATTCTTACCATTCATGTGATTGCCAGAAAACTGGTCAGTTGTTGTCCAAAAGCCCACGCATTTTTCTAAGTCATTGCAACCCTTTTAAAATATTTCTTTTTTTTTTTTTACTTCTTGTAAGTTATATGAGCTATGTAAAAATATGCGCTCCTATAGCGTCTATGCGATTGCGATCAAACTTTGTTGACTTCTTGTACGCACACCTGCATTGGTTTCTCAATTACTACAACCAGTTTTTAAAATATTCCGTTTTGAGCCAGGGGCCCTAAATTCCCTTTTTCTTACAAGCTATATAAATATGATTTCAAACGGAATATTTTAAAAACAACTCACCAATTTTATCACAATCACATGAATGGCCTAGGAGCGCATACGGGACATAGACACATACATTCATTTTTATATAGATTAGATCATACTGGATTGCATGTCTTGTCACATAACTTTTGTAGATATACATCCAATGGCGCCGGCAGTGTTTTGTGGTTTATTTCTAGTAACTTTATTTAAATTATTAAAAAAATTATAAGAATTCCATATCAATAATGATCAATGATATGATTGGATGGAGAAAAGGGGGCCGGGGGGTGGGGGAGGGGGTGGGAAGAGACTGCAGTCACTCTTGGGTAGACGCCACATATCTAAATAGTGAATAAATATTTTAAAAGCGTTTTCTTACAATGATATCCTCTTACTTTACTTATTTCAATTGTTTATACAAAAAAATTGTTTGCCTTAAATTGAACATTAGTTTAAAAGTTTAGAATTTTAAATGAGTTGAATAACAAGCTAAACTTAAAATTCAACTTTCCAAAATACAATTGTATTTAATAATTCATTTTAAGATTATGAAACATTAATTATCTTAAGTGTTTTTAAATAAGGCACTTTGATAACACTCATAACAGCACATTGTTTCAAAGGAGCGTCCTCCCCCCCTTTCGCCCTCTTCTACACAGTGCTCCAAGCTCTGTGGACCTGGCAGTACAATTCAAAGGATGGCACATGATCCATTTTCATACACTTAAAAAGTTGATTTAAAACAGTAATATAACCACGCTGTCAGACCACCATCTCACACTAATCTGATAGAGCATTTCGTCACACCAATCTGATGTCAGACCATTCCATCACACCAATCTGCTGTCCACCTATATAATCACACCAGTCTTATGCAAATGAAATAAATTTTAAACTATAATTTATTCATTAAACAAGTCAATGGCTTTCGTGACATGAATGAACATAATAGTTAATAATAGCACTTCATTTCTTACCACTGAATGCAAGTGTAAGCAGGTCATAACTGATTGGTTTTTTTTAAATACAGCCCACATGTAGCTTAGTAATATGCAGTTTTTTTCATCAGCCAAAAGACTAACTTGTGTAAAAGCTTTGAAGCAAATAAGCTGTCATTTCTTAAATTTAACGGTATTGTTGATCTTGAGCAAGGGTCAAAGGTTGATTGGAATGTCATTTTAGTCTAATAACATGGCTGGGCAAAAATTAACATTGTCTTTTTCAACCTATTTAATATTGTTATTATTCTGTTATTTGATGCCTCGGATGACAGAAGACTACTAATACTAATTTAAGTAATAGTTTATATAGACAATTTATTTTAAAATAAGTGTTGATGCCCGTCATGAAAAAGCCTCAGATTCAAATTTATTTATTTTTTAAAAAATAATAGTACATGAGCAGGACTAGGAGGAATATTAGGTAACAACATTTAGAGATACCTGGTAACATGAAAAACAATATAACCCATTGCTTATGAAAGAATGCATGCATTATGGTGGACTGGATCTTTATTACAAAACATAAGATGCAAAAAGTAAGTACTCGGTTAGCACCGTTGGTTTGATATTTTATAAAAAAATTTATTTCTTAATTTTTTTTAAAATTTATATGAAGCACATCACTGCAACTTTGAATATAGAAAATTATTTTTTTACAAATACACTAAAACATGCAGTTTATGAAATAAAAAGGATCAAAAGATTCTCAATAAGTGAAAGTGTTTGAAGATGCTGTACAAAGCATGTTTTCTAGTGTTTATTATTGTAAAAAAAAAAAAGAAATTAATTAATGAAGTATGAAAAGAGATTTTTTTAAAAAATGTTCAGCCACTACGTTTGAAGGTTGCTTTCATATTACAACTGACTGTTGAAACTCACACACTGATAATGTGTGAAGATCTGATCTACAGTACTGTAAAATGTTATTAACTTTAAAGACAATGACTAAGATTGAAATAAGTATGATCAGCCACTTCGAGAGGGTTTAGACTGAAAATTGCACATACTGAGAATGAAAATAATTTATAAAAATCTGTGGTTGAATTATGAAACATAAAAATCATTAAGTATATTGGAAATATTACAAAAAATGAACATATAAAATTGTATGTTGGGAATTTTCCTGAGAAATGATACTCCATCTTCATCTATGGTCATATGGAGCATAATCACAAAGCAAACTTTGTAGAGATGTGATACAGCCGAGTTAAATATCATGCAGTGTTGACTGTTATCTTATGCACATATTGAGTCCAGAGGTCAGCTTCTTGTCAGGTTTGACTTCAGCTTTCTTGGCCTGCTGCTTCTCTACTGCGAAACATTTCCACAGCCTGATAGTCTCATCTGCAGCCGCACTGGCAATGGTGCTGCCATCTGGTGACATGGCCATGCACAGGACACGTGATCTGTGGCCTAAAATGTAAGAAAACTGAAATTGAATTATAAACCAAATAGACTTTTTAAAACTATGGAATGAAGTCTAATATAAATTAAAAACAAGATGAAATATCTGTATTCATTTCATGGATCAAGATAATAGAGATTTTTAACACTGGGCAAGTACTATTTCTGGCATATCCAAGGATGCTAAAATTGCATCAGTAAGTTTATTTTGGTTCGGAGCTTTATTGATTGACAATATTAACTCCCCATACATCTGCAACTTAAGACTTTTCTATTTGACCAACAAATGAAGTCAACATTTGTAACATGAATTTTCAGTAATCAAGCAGTATGATAAAATGACAAAACCATCCCTTACCAATCAGGTCAACCACCTTGGTCATGGCGGGGTACTTCCAAATCCTGAGGTGGTTGAGGGCGTAACCGTGCCCTGAGATCAGTTCTTTATGCTCTTGAGACCACAGAATAGAACACACCTAACCATGTGAACAATAATCAAACTAATCATTAGTGCACTGTCACATCACTTTTTCTCAGTGAGGAATCATTGACTGATTATAAATACAAATACATGCCTGTTTTAATTATGCTACAAATGAACAAATTATCTACCACCTTAACAGCATTAACAAATCTTGGATTGCAGTAAAGCTGATAAAGGTTTAAAGCATATCAAAGTAAGGTGAGCATAAGAACATCTTTCAGCTGAAAGTTTTCACCACCAGGTGTCATGATGTTCAACGTTAAACTGCAGTTGAAAACAGTTTGATGAATCGCCTGTTTTAAACTCTTTAGAATATACCGTACTTAAAAACCTATGTTTGAGCTAAAACCCAAAATTCAGCTCTAAATATACTAGCTAGAAAAAAAAAAAAGATCTCCAACGGCAATCCAACTAAACAAACCTGGGATTCTGTATCATATGCGCCTACACTGGCACCAGACTGGACATTCCACAAACGTATGTTTCTGTCTGCTGTTCCTCCACCTGTAGCCAGCAAGTACGATTTCCATGGACACCAAGCCATTGCCTATTAATATTAAATAAGAGCATGTTTCTGTTATGAGGAAGTGAGTGTGAGGTCTTTTATTTTAAACATACAAGAGTTACATCAAAAATTATTAACATGTCACAAGCAGAAGCAATATTTTTCAATAGATTTACCTTTACAGCTGCTTGATGGTCACTCAAAGTGTAGACAGGTGGGGAAGAAGCCATTTGATTTGACCAGATATTGATCAAATTGTCATTGCCACCACTGGCCAAATATCTGCCGTCAGGTGACCAGCGGAGTCCACAAACTTCTTGGGTGTGGTTCTGCAGGGTGGCAACATGGTGGTTTGCCACTCGCACATCATGGTGGTGTATAGCACCGGTACGAGATCCACTAAAAAAAATTGAATATTAACTTCATGGACAGAATTGAAAAAGATACCATGCATTTATAAAGTTTAAAATTGTAAGTGATTTATTGTGTAAATCTGACATACTGCTGGTCAGTACTTAAACTTACTTATTTAGTTCAGTTCTTAACTTACCTATACTAGGTTCTGTGATAAATTTAGAGTACTTAACGTATGTACCAAGAGCTCATTTTATGTCCCAAGAGCTCATTAATAAAAATGTATAAATAGACACTGAAATAATCGAATACTAGGGCAACCGGATGCAGTTTTTTACCACAGGGTCTGGGTATTTTGAGAAATAGGCCTACAGACAGTCCTACACCCTACCTGTGGGCCTTTAAACAATAGTCCTACACCATACCTGTGGCTCTTTATTGATTAATAATTAATATAATAGTCGCCTCCCCTTAAAAGAATATTTTTACCAGCATTCTCAGATCATGCATGACATTTTTTTTTTAATCAGTGCTATTAATATAAAACGTGTAGAGTTAGGAGGAGGGCGGTTTTGTAAAGGATCACTGGACACACCAAAAGTAAAATATATAAGAGAATGTCTTATGAATGGTTTATTAAAACTTAATTGTTTTTTCACAAACAAAATAAGACTTTTAATTCTTTTGGTTGTAGCCACTGAGTCTAATACCTATGTTTTTTTTTATATTACTTTGACCTAAGATAAATCTCACCTAGAGAGTATATGTTTGTTCCATGACATGCTTCCAACACGTGATGCATGTCCTGGCATGGACCGAATCAACTTTTGCTGGTCGGTATCCCAGAGCTGAAAACATAAGTAAACACTTTTAAAAAAAAAAATGTCATGATTGTTTAACTTCCATAGCTTTAACCCAGAGAAATGATTTTTTAATGAAGGGACTGAATTATGAATAAGCAAGTATGACAAAGTACAAAGCATATACAGTCAGCTGTGCTCATTTCCTTAAAACATTTGACATAGGATAGTTTATTCTCTTTAATAGGCTGTACAATCACTCACTGCACAACTCCATTTCAAATTAACCCCCCCCCCCTCCCCAATGTGCTATTTCAATCCACACCCCTGTACAAATCAAGTGCTTTGTCCGTCCACCCACCTGCACAACTCCAGTGCTTAGGCCCACAGCCAACACAGCACTCTCCGGGACCCAGGAGACAGATGATACGTAGTCATCAGTAGTAGCCAGCTCCATCAGCTGAGTTATCGTCCCATTGTCAGCATTCCACAGAAATACAGCAGAACCAAGTGCCACAGTCAGGATGTTGCCCACAGACCAATCAAGGAGATTTAGGTCTGAAACGAAGTAAAAGACCATGATAAATGCTGTTACTTACCAGAAATATATTCAAGCTACATGAGAAACAGGAATGAGAAATGAAAATATATGATTTAGTTCATATATAAGACTCTGTGGATATTAAGAGTAATTTGATTGGGGTCACAAGAGCTCAATTGACTTCAACAATACAAATTATAACAAATCTTGACCACATGATTTAATCCTATAGCAAAGCCAGAGGCTCCAGTTCAGTAAATAAAAAATAAAACTGTATGCATATCTTACAATATTATATTAGTAAAATGGAAGAATCACAATAGAAAAAAACTTCACCAGTCAAAAGCTAAAAAATATACCTACAGCCTATATACCATACCATAAAGCATTTTACAGGTAACTATTTAAGGAACAATTCTTTCATTGGTTTTTTTAAACGATTTGTGGTTCAATTTTTGGTAGCCAACACTCAAATTCTTTGAAGAGGGGCAAGTTGAGTTGCTGTGTTTATCCTCAAACTACTAGATGGAAAGTTAGGACCCTACATACTTGTTATATGTATTTTTACTCAAAACTTCATTTTACTTCATTTTATTTATACATTTGGTTTTTCAAAGTGTACTTGTTCGAATTTAACACATGGAGCCTGGTGAAAACCTAAATTTTGAAACAGGCGCCTCGAAATGACAATTTTAAAAGCACTGGCATATTCCAATAAAATTTACATTACACCCTCGTTGAAGATACGTGGGGTAAATATTACTATATATTTACTACTTAGTAATATCTGAGTATATCTAGCCAGTTCATCTGTGAAAATACTTAACAATAAGACGATAATTCCTACAAAACATCCTTTCTGCAAAGATGCCCCCTTCCCCCGTAATAAAAAACAGACATATGGATGGCCCCGGATTTACTAAAATTGTCACTAGGATGACTACGCTAATAATACTGTTGCAGTATTTAGCAAGTTCATAATGAAAATACAAAACATCAATATGACAATCACCACTTTCATTAAGAAAATGTGTGTGTTAACCCCTGACCAATTGTATTTCTCAATCCATTCACTGCCGAATGTAAAATGCAAATGCAAGTTAAAAGTAACAACTAAATATGTATTTTTTAAATAATTTTTTATTAAATTGGAAAAGCCTACTAAATGTATATATTTTCAACTCTGTCTCTAAAAATCCTAGTTCTGACAGGTCTTGACATAAAACCGCACAAGAAATCTCAAAATCATGCATTGTATGCCAAAATTGTTAAGAGTATACAGGTCTGCATTTGTAATTCAAACCAATGCATAAATGAGCAGTTTCCGAAGCATAAAAAGCGCTCTAAAATCTCTAAATCAAGCCTCCATTTCCTACTTTATATTGATTTTTGACAGATAGTTTTTATCACAGCAACCGCCGATAACCCAGTAATCTTTTGCAGCACATCTGTGAAGAAGACGAGGCCCCCCTCCCCCCAGGTTACAGCAGGGCACACTTACAGTAATCATCAAGCAAGTCAGGAGCATCCAGGATCCTCTCTGGTTCCTTTGGAATGACTCTGGAACTGGTTGACTGTTTGGAACCAACTTTGCCGCAACTGTACAAGACATGCAAACTGTTCAGGTTGGGCTCTGGAAGTAAAAAAATATATTTTACTGATGATTGTTCTGCAGGCATCCAATTAGTTTTGCATCATTCTACACTTAATCAGAGAAAAACTGAAGAAATGCTTGTGGAAAATTAGGTTCCTTTTACCAAGCTGTAATAAAATAGTTTTAAAGTTTTTATTTAAGATTACTTATTTATATCTATTTTATTTTTTTTAAAGTCAATATAGAGACTGGTACACTGAATGAAAAATGCAATCACAAAAGAAGGGACGTATATGCTGGCATCCGCCCGTCGGAGGACGAAATCCACATGGCCTGGGATTATTCTTCAAGGATTCCCAGCAGCAAATCACCTCTCTCCACGCCGCTGGATAACCCAAGGGAACATCATTGGATGATACAGCTTGGCACCAGTGACGTCGCAGGAGTTGTATCAATGTTATCCGCCTTTCGGGACTCCATCTTAGGGTTTGATTTCAGAGTTTCCATCTCTTAGATGAGTTGCACCCGGGGTGCTGGTGGTGTTTTTGCTTGACTAGGCTCTGGTTGGAATTGAACTCCAGACCATCAAGTTGAGATATGCTCAGTTTTTTTCTTTTGTTTTGTTCTTAATTTGAAAAAATATCGGTATAAAATTCTTTTCAACCCAGCCTATTAAAAATCTTAGTCCTGTCAAGTTTCTGCATACAATCATAAAATACATCTCAAAATCGAACAGTGTATGGCAAAATTGTAAGAGTGACGAGGTCTGCAACTGGGCCATATTATATTTTTTTAACATAAACTTGGATCAGCTCAGTTTAAATTGCCTTAAAATAGAACGAAAGAAACAACTTTGTCTTTCAATGCTGTCAAGTTAATTTCTACTCACTACTTGTTTGTGGAGCTTTCCCTCTAAAATTAAGAATCTTGCAATCTTTGACCTCCATTGCCTCTTTCAACTGTTCCTGATACTCAGTGTTGATGTTGCCTGCCTCAGAAGGAGCACCCTCTGGGTCTTCATCAGTTCTTCTCATCACAGCATAGTGGCCAAACTCAATGTCTGTTGTGGACCGGCTAGGAATAAATCTGGAAAAAAAATGTGTTATTTTCTTTATAGAAACCAGTTGTAAAAACATCTCCGTAATTAAAATTAGTTTGGCTTTGCCATCATAAGACTATACCTGTCTTGTTGTCTTCCAGGTGTCTTATTCCCAGGTGTCTTGGATTTAATCCCACTGCGACTGCCATTGCTCAAAATTTCCCCATTCTTTCCTCCTGGTGTTTTACAGCCTCCAGGTGTTTTTGGTGTTTTTGGATTGGACCCAGCTGGGCAAGCTTGACTGGGTACAGTTTTTCCAGGGGTTCTTGTTTTGGATTTCAGTGGGGTAGACACACCTAGCAAAAGCCAAAGAGAAAAGTATTGCATATAACATTCATTAGAAATTACAGTACAAAAAAGAATCAACTGTTTAGATAGCATGTATCAAACTCAAGGCAAGAAAGCCACATCCAGCCCGCCGTACAATTATATGCAAGTCAACGCATTGGTGTTTCCCAATGCACACTTTGCTGAAAAACTTAGCTTACTTCGCACGATGCTTTAATGTCTTTGAAGCACAGAAATGTAATTTTGAGCTGTTTCGTAATCCATTTGTCACAGACGTGGAAACTGCACCTGTAAAAATTTGCAGATGGAGCTAATAGAGCTGTAGCGTAATGGAGCACTAAAGGCGAAGTGCGACACACTTGGGCCTTCACAGTTAACTCGTTTCATTCCTGAAGAGATGCCCCAGCTTCATCTACATTTGGCTCGAACCTTGAGCATGATGGGTAGCACATATATGTGAGAGCAATTGTTTTCCGTGATGAAGAGTAACAAAACATCTCACAGGAGTTGTCTTACCAATGAACACTTTCAGTCCATCATGAGAATCTCAATAACACAGATCGTTACTCCCAACATAAACAAACTTACTTGTTTTTGTAGCCAAGACAATGTGCCAAACATCCAGCTCTGACAAACTGGCATAAGAACGAAAATGGGTATGCCAATGATTTTTAATTATAAAAACTTTTTCTTTTTTCATTTATATTAATGTTTTTAAACAAATATTAATATTCAATGTTTATCCTGTTCGGCCCGCAACATTACATGTGATTTGATTTTTGGCCTTCCAAGTTTGACACCCCTAGATTAGATGGATGCATTTGTTTGGAATTAAGAGGAGAAAAAAATCTTAATTTTCCAAAACATAAAATGAATATTTAATGTCACTGCCAAGTTTAAGTAAGTTGAAATTATACTATAAAACAGCAACAAATTAAGTTCAAACCATTATCATTAGGGTGCACTCGTAACAGTGTTTCCTGAGCTTTTCTCTGCCATCTCATCAAAGGACCACCTTGCATCGGTCCATCCATCTTTACAACTTCACTTATATCCTTTGCGAAATTGAAATGCGCCATCTGCAATGACATTTTTAAGAAAACCTTATTTATTTTCGATTACATTTGGATTGAAAATTAATCAACTTGAAATTAAACTTGTGTCATCATTCACATCCACCAAGAATTCACAAGGATATTTCATAAAGAGCCAAACAAGGCAATAAAATACTAATTTTTCTACTACTTAAGAATCTTTCTTGTTTCCATCAATCCCTGTGGCACTTTGGCATGCCTCACCATTTCCTTCTACTAGTTCTACTCAGACCTGACCAATGCTTTTTATTTTCCATACTCAGATTCCCATCAGCTGTAGATCTTTTCCCACATCGTCTATCCTAGGTCTGCCTTTGAGCAGTTTTCCTATAGGATTTTGGTGGTGCACTCTCTTCACTCATCTGTCACTTGGCATTCTTTCTCAGTGTCCCGCCCAGCTAATCCTGTCCATTTTTATTTATGCTACTTGCCAGGGATCCTTATAGGTCAAACAATTTCTGGTTGGTTTGTATTCTCCAGCCATTTTTTGTTGGTCAATATATTTTCTGGATAACTTTTCTCTCCCATGTGTTTAATAGATTTTCTTCTGTTTTTATTAGGATCCAAGTTTTAAAACTTAGTATTAGTATGTTACTGCAGGTCTAATTAAATTTTTATATGTATTTAGTTTTTTTTTTGTTTTTTTACTTGTGAGTATGTTGTGCCTACCCAAGTATGCCCTGCTTCTGCCCAATATTCTTTCTTTAATGTCATTTAGTAAGTCACTTCTTTTATTTCATTTATTAAGGATACTACATATTTTCAAAAGGATGGTTTCTAATTTCAATTGTTTAATCCCTCTGTTCTATTGACGTAGTCATAGTCATGTACTTTGTGTTTTGGTTGTAAACTTCCTGCCCTGTGTCTTCTTATTCCATAAAAAGCTTTTGAAGGGAAGAGGAATGCTTGAACCAAACTGGGATATTAAAATTTTACAGATGCTTAGTGACTTCTAAAAATAATTTTCAAATACCACTTACTAAATCTTATAACTTATAAATCTGTCAGATCTACTGCTGCTGTGTGGATAAGATGAGAATGCATAAATAGAAATGAAAAATCCTCTTTCCAGTCTTTCTCCATTTTCGAAATCGCAAATCATTAGAATAACGACATAATTATTTCACAAACTTACATCACACAGCACCAAAGCAAATTAAAGCGAATTTTGACTAAATTTGTCATTTGGACGTGCTAAACATTAATGTTGTGAGTTCATTGTGATAAACAAAGCAACAATCTGACTATATTCACCATATCATTCATAAGGAAAGTGGCAGTCTTATTAAAATATTTAGATACTTGACTTATCCCTTAGCCTCTCCCATGCACACCCTTACACTCCTCAGTCAATACCACCCCCACCCCCTATCCCCATTGCCCATATCAAATATAATTATGGATGCTCACCAAAAAATTCATCCGGATGTAGAAAGGAGCTAAAACTAGCAAATGATAAAAGGCAGTGTCTACACGTCCAGCGCGCCGGACGTATATCTCCCGCACTATTTGTCCGGCAACCAAGTCACATGACCGCCGTAACAAAGTGGCGAGAGATATCTTGTCGGTCAGCCTTGTCATGACAGCGAATGATTCAAAACTATTATTAATTTTAAAATCTATTTCTGATGTACTGAGTATCTTGAATGCAAATAATAGAAAAAAACTTAAGTGAAAGTGGCTTGTAAACATTTTTGTTTTGTTTGTTATTTGAGTTTGTGTACCAGTAATCCATAAAATAAATTAGGTGTGGAGTAGGCAACCAATAAAAGTAAAAGATGTCATTTTAAATTGTTTAAATTGCTACAAAATATTTAAAAACTTCTCATGAAACCACTGTTGCTGATGAACATGATAATATGAATATAGTATAAAATATTTGTAATTAAAATGGGAAGAAAAAAAAACGATCCTATCCCCGGTATTGATCCTCAAATCATATTAGACGTCCGACGGTCACGTGACATGGCGCCAGACGTATATCTTTCGCACTATTTGTCAGGCGCGCCGGACGTGTAGACACTTCGATGACAAAAACTACCAGATTAAAAAAAATTGTCAACCATTTCCTTTAAAATTTTAAGCCTTACTTTCCCTAAGCCTAAGCCTTAAGTTATAGCAGTTCCCATTCTATAATACTTCTAATAAATGTAAAAGTTTAATTACAAATTCAGTTATTATTAATTATGACTCACTGAGTTATTACAAACTTTAAAAAGTCAAAGAAAACAACACTAGCTAGCTGTGGACCGTGGAACTCCCAAAATCCAAATCAACTAATGCTTAAGACTTTACTCATCTTAAGTAGGCGTAGGCATATTATGATATTCATATTATTATCATTATTAATTATAATGAATGAGAGTTAAAATGTTAATTATTAATAATTTAAAATTAAATAATAGTAAGCCAGTAAGCAGAGTATGCTATTTCAGAAAAATAGGAATTTTACTTGCAGCAAATTTTTTAAATGAATAAACTGTGTAGGTATAATAATGAATAGTTAAACAAAATGCACTCGTTAGCCTGCCTAATGTGGTGTCCAATGTTTAAAGATCAGCGAATGGCTCTGAACGGTGTTCATGATGAGTGATTCTTCGAATTTACCTCGGTTGCCTTTCAGATTCTCACGTGACGTAGAACTTCCGCAGGAACTGTTGACAACAGTTTCGTATTATTTATCAGACAAAATATTATCTAACTTGCCCTGCCAAACAAAGAACATGATTTGCGTATTCATATTTGTGGGTAACCGTGAATAGTTCTCTCCAACTTAAGAGTTCCAGCGATAATAGGGATAGCTCAAAAACTTACTGAGCCTCAGATTGAGTAACATTTTGGGCAATTAAATTTTCCTCCCCCTCCCGGATCCATCCAACCCGACCCCACCCAGGAATGAGAGGATTGACCTTGGCTGGAGTCCTAGAGCGACCACCTTCAACTTGTGACGTTTGATGTCAAGCCCCTAAAAACACTTGGATTACACCACAGAAAAGTGGCTTGTAAAGGGGGGCCGCGGATGCAATATGCAGTACACAATCTGTTGTATACAATCTGTGCTTTAAAGTCTGTGGTATACAGTCTGTGGCATACAATCTGTCGCATACAATACGGGACATACAATCTGTGGTCTCAGGCAATGTTCCCTCCAAGGTTTGTTGGTTCGTGTGCAAAATCATACAGTTGTGTGCAAAGTTTTGCAGCATCAATTTTTTGTGTGCAAAATTTTACAGCCCACAAACACAAACACACACTTACATGGAAATTTGCTGTGCGGATATTCAAAACTGCTGCCCGGCGTCTGTGAGATAGCTGCGCGGCCGCGCAGCCACGCAGCTTAAAGGGAACATTGGTCCCAGGTATATAATTTGTTGTATAATTTCTGTGGCATACAATTTTTGGTATAAAATCTATGGTATACAATATGTTGTATACAATCTGTGGTATACAATCTATGGTATACACTCAGCGGTATACAATCTGTGGTTAAAAATATGTGGTATACAATCTGTGGCCAAAGATTTGAAGTACATAATCTGTTGTATATGAACTGTGGGTTACAATCTGTTGAATACAATCTGGGGTAAAAAATCTGTAATATACAATCCGTGGTTAAAACTGGTATACAATTTGTGGTATAAAATCTGTGGTATACAATTTGTGGTGTACAATCTTTGGTATACAATCTGTGTTATACAATCTGTGTTATACAGTCTGTGGTATAGAATCTGTGGCATACAATCTGTGTTATATAATTTGTGGTACTTAATCTGTGGTATACAATATGTGGTTAAAAATCTGTGGTGTCCAATATGTGGCAAAACATCCGCGGTACACTATCTGTGGTATGTAACCTGTGGGTTACAATCTGTGGTAAAAATCTGTGGTATACAATCTGTGGTATAAATCTGGGGTATACACTCTGTGGTTTACAATCTGTGGTATGCAATCTGTGTTATATAATCTGTGATATATAATCTGTGATATATAGTTTGTGATTGCATACGAACAATCTGTGGTATAACATCTGTGGTAAATATCTGTGGTATACAATCTGTGTTATATAATCTGTGATATATAGTTTGTGGTATACAATCTGTGATATACACTCTGTGGGATACAATTGGTAAAAATCTGTGGTATACAATCCGTGGTATATACTCTGAGGTATACAATTTGTGGTATAAAATGTGGTAAAAACTCTGTGGTCAAAATATATGGTATACAATTTGTGGTTTACAATCTTTTGGATAAAATCTATGATAAAAATCTGTGGTATACAATCTGTGGTATATAATCTGTGGTATACAGTCAGTAGTATAAAACCTATTGTATACAATCAGATGTACAAAATCAGTCACATACAATATGGGGCATTCAATATGTGGTTCAAGGTATACCACCTATGGTAAAATTTATGTTATATCCAATCTGTGGTATACAATCTGTGGTATAAAATCTGTGGTATACAATCTGCGGTATAGAATCTTTGATATACAATCTGTTGTATACAATCTGTGTTATACAATGCTTGATATACAATATGTGGTAAAAATCTGTGGTAAAATGTGTCGTATACAATCTGTGGTATAAAATATATGGTACAAATATGTGGTATACAATCTGTGGTATACAATGCTTTGTATACAATATGTGGTATAAAATCTATGGCACAAATATGTGTTATACAATCTGTGGTATATAATTTGTGGTATAAAGTATGTGGTATAAAATCTGTGGTATACAATCAATGGTAAAAATCTGTGGTATACAATCGGTGGTAAAAAATCTGTGGTATAAATCTGTGGTATACAATCTGTGGTATAGAATATGTGGTACAAACTATCCAATTTCACGTCACCAGCCATTACATTTAAACAACATGTCGCCAGTCATTACATTTAAACAACATGTCACCAGTCATTAAATTTAAACAACACGTCACCAGTCATTACATTTAAACACGTCACTAGTCATTACATTTAAACAACCCGTCACCAATCATTACATTTAAATTACACGTCCCTAGTCATTACATTTAAGTTACACGTCACTAGCCATTGCATTTAAATTACACGTCACTAGTCATTAAGTTAACCTGACATCAGAGTTTTGGTAGAATAGGGAACACATAATAGCTTGGGAGGCAGAGAGATACCACGCGGACAGTGTGGGAACAGTCATCCGAATGAATTCGAGTAATGAGTTTTGTATAAGTGGAATTTTCACGAAGACAATGAGAGACGTTAGACTAATTTTAAGTGATATTAAAAACCTCATCACGTTGATGGGGTATTGACTTGAGTTTGGCGTCCAGGGGGCAAAGTATCAGGTCGTTAGAATATTCAGTGATGAAGCAATTCAATGACTGGCTGACGCGTATCAAGTAGAGTTTATAGTCATGTAACGAGAAATATACAGGAAACTTTATATATAGAGACACGGGTAGTAGAGTTGGAGATTCGTGGGCGGCCATTCTGAAGTGAAAGATGCAGTGGTACTGGTCCAGTGGTTCTCATCATGTGGGTCACGACCACTTGGGGGGGGGGGGGGCCGAAAGACCCCCAAAAAGGGGTGCCCTGGGACCATCGAAAAACCCATTTTTTTTAAGTGGCAAGGAAAAAAATTTTCCATTCTGAAGTGAAAGATGCAGTGGTACTGGTCCAGTGGTTCTCATCATGTGGGTCACGACCACTTGGGGGGGGGGGGTCGAAAGACCCTCATACAGGGGTCGCCTAGGACCATCGAAAAACCCATATTTTTTAAGTAGCAAGGAAAATAATTTTATGTTTGGGGGTCAACACAACACGAGGAACTATATTTAAGTGTCATGCTATTAGGAAGGTTGAGAACCACTGTACTAGTCGTTGTCAAAAATAAACTTGTTGATAGGCAATAAGATTTATGAATCCCCGTAAAATGACTATGGATTACAAGGACAGACCTGCACGCAACCAGCAGCAGACGTTAAGTGTCACGTGGGCTGGGAATTTACTTATAATAAGACAAACTTTTCAAAATATTTCCAAATTTTACCAGGGTCAAATGGAAAAAAACAACTGTTAATTAGAAAGTTCTGAAACCTGGTCATTTTTATAAATCGAATATGATTGGCATGACTATTTTAATAAGACATGAGTTGTTTACAAAAGACATATATATTTTTAATGTGCGATTTTATCTAAGGGAAATCGTATGCAAATTAAGAATATATTTCTAAATATTCAGTCGATTGAAATGTTTTTTTGTAATTTGAAAATAATATATCGTTTTTCAAATAAATTACAAATTACCTCTTAGATTTACAACAAAATTGTTTTTTACCAAATCCACAGAATTAAATTTAATTTCAACACATTAGAAATAGGTCTAAGAATATTTTTCTAAAACTAGTACCAACAAATATATATATATATATATATATATATATATATATAAATATAATTG